GTTCCTATGCTATTCCTTTGCTAAAGTTTTTCTTTTACTTCCTAAACTTTCCTCATTAGTTTCTTTCATTTGAACTTCTCAGAAATGCCCAATTTCCCAAAATATATGATACCGTTTTAAAACCAAATTAAAAAACATCACCCAAACAAATTTTCAAGGGGGTAGCCCATGAGCAACCATGATCCACAATCGTATGGTTTGTTTGGGTGGTACACTATTGTGTCCAGATGCTTCCTGGGTTGATTTTTTTCAATCAATCCCTTTACCTTTTCCTTGGCTAAAGTTTTTCTTTTACTTCCTAAACTTTCCTTCATTAGTTTCTTTCATTTGAAGGTCTCAGAAATGCCCAATTTTCCAAAATATATGATGCCTTTTTAAAACCCAATTAAAAAACATCACTCAAACAAATTTCCAAGGGGGTAGCCCATGAGCAACCCTGATCCACAATAGTATAGTTTGTTTGGGTGGTACACTATTGTGCCCGGATGCTTCCTGGGGCGATTATTTTTTCAAACAACCCCTTTACCTTTTCCTTGGCTAAAGTTTTTCTTTTACTTCCCAAACTTTCTTAATTAGTTTCTTTCATTTGAAATTCTCAGAAAAGCCAAAATTCCCAAAATATATGATACCTTTTTAAAACCAAATTAAAAAACCTCATTCAAACAATTTTTCAAGGGGGTAGTCCATGAGCAACCCTGGTCCACAATAGTAAGGTTTGTTTGGGTGGTACACTATTGTGTCCAGATGCTTCCTGGGGTGATTTTTTTTCAGACAATCCCTTTACCTTTTCCTTTGCTAAAGTTTTTCTTTTACTTCCTAAACTTTCCTCATTAGTTTCTTTCATTTGAAGGTCTCAGAAATGCCCAATTTTCCAAAATATATGATACCTTTTTAAGACCAAATTGAAAAAATCACTCAAACAATTTTCAAGGGGGTAGTCCATGAACAACCCTGATCCAAAATAGTATGGTTTGTTTGGTGGGTACACTATTGTGTCCAGATGCTTCCTGAGGTGATTTTTTCAAACATTCCCTTTACCTTTTCCTTTGCCAAAACTTTTTTCTCTTATGGTATTACTATTGGATTTCTATGGAAGCCCTATGGGATTTCCATGATGTTTCTATGATATTTCTATGGGATTCTTTTTCGAATTCTCATGGGATTTCTTTGTAGTTTCTATGCTATTCCATGTTCAAAGGAAGTTTAGGGGGAGAAACTTCCGTGTTACGGACTTTTAGAATGTCAGGGAAAGAGTTAGTCAAAGAAAGAGTTAGTGAGGGAAAGAGTTAGTCAAACAAAGAGGTAGTCAAAGAAACAGTTAGTCAGGGAAAGAGTTAGTCAAAAAAGAGTTAGCAAAGAGTTAGGGAAAGAGTCAAAGAAAGAGTTAGTCAAAGAAACAGTTAGTCAGGGAAAGAGTTAGTCAAAGAAAGAGTTAGTGAGGGAAAGAGTTAGTCAAAGAAAGAGTTAGTCAAAGAAACAGTTAGTCAGGGAAAGAGTTAGTCAAAGAAAGAGTTAGTCAAAGAAAGAGTTAGTCAGGGAAAGAGTTAGTCAAAGAAAGAGTTAGTCAAACAAAGAGTTAGTCTAAGAAACAGTTAGTCAGGGAAAGAGTTAGTCAAAGAAAGAGTTAGTGAGGGAAAGAGTTAGCAAAGAAACAGTTAGTCAAAGAAAGAGTTATCAAAGAAACAGTTAGTCAGGGAAAGAGTTAGTCAAAGAAAGAGTTAGTCAAAGAAAGAGTTAGTCAAAGAAAGAGTTAGTCAAACAAAGAGTTAGTCAAAGAAAGAGTTAGTCAAACAAAGAGTTAGTCAAAGAAACAGTTAGTCAGGGAAAGAGTTAGTCAAAGAAAGAGTTAGTGAGGGAAAGAGTTAGCAAAGACACAGTTAGTCAGGGAAAGAGTTAGTCAAAGAAACAGTTAGTCAGGGAAAGAGTTAGTCAAAGAAAGAGTTAAAACTCTAGGATCGTTCCCTCACTGTAAATGGCATTGCAAGTGGTGCTGGTGGAGGAGTTGCCGATGGAGTTTTGAAGGAAGTCTCGCACGAAATGCGTTTTTGAGAGATAGCAGATGCACGAAACCCTATGTTTTTCCATACAAAGTGCGTCCCCGAACGTCGATGATCTACCTTTGCGGTGCGACGGGTGCGAGACGGTCTCGTGTGTGGTCGGATCATTCTCGGATCATTCTCGGATCATTCTCGGATCGGTCTCGGATCGGTTCCGCATTGTAAATGGGGTTTTAACTGTTTTTCGTGCATGTGTGGTCGACAGAATTCCATTGTGATTTGCAACTGTAGGATCGTTCCCGCATTGTAAATGGGGTTGCAAGTGGTGCTGGTGGATGAGTTGCCGATGGAATTCCATTGTGATTTGCAACTCTAGGATCGTTCCCACACTGTAAAAATGGCATTGCAAGTGGTGCTGGTGGAGGAGTTGCCGATGGAGTTTTGGAGGAAGTCTCGCACGAAATGCGTTTTTGAGAGATAGCAGATGCACGAAACCCTATGTTTTTCCATACAAAGTGCGTCCCCGGACCTCGATGATCTACCTTTGCGGTGCGACGGGTGCGAGACGGTCTCGTGTGTGGTCGGATCATGCTCGGATATGTTCGGATCATCCTCGGATCATTCTCGGATCGGTTCCGCATTGTAAATGGGGTGTCAACTGTTTTTCGTGCATGTGTGGTCGACAGAATTCCATTGTGACTTGCAACTGTAGGATCGTTCCCGCATTGTAAATGGGGTTGCAAGTGTTGCTGGTGGACGAGTTGCTGATGGAATTGCATTGTGATTTGCAACTTTAGGATCGTTCCCTCACTGTAAATGGGATTGCAAGTGGTGCTGGTGGAGGAGTTGCCGATGGAATTCCATTGTGCTTTGCAACTGTAGGATCGTTCCCGCAATGTAAATGGGATTGCAAGTGGTGCTGGTGGATGAGTTGCCGATGGAATTTCATTGTGATTTGCAACTCTAGGATCGTTCCCGCAATGTAAATGGGATGCAAGTGGTGCTGGTGGATGAGTTGCCGATGGAATTCCATTGTGCTTTGCAACTGTAGGATCGTTCCCGCAGTGTAAATGGCTGCGTCAAGGTTGCTTCTTGCCACGGCTGCATGCGTAATACTATTGTTTTTTGCAGCTGGACTTCGTAAATCGTATTGGAGTGGCTGCATGAAGGCTGCGACAATGATTTGTCACCAGATTTTCTCCATTTTGGCGCCAGTGATTTTCTTTTTAAAAATCCTTTTAAAAAGTGCTTCAAAATCGTCTTTTTTTTTCGCTTTGGCGTCGAGATCCGGTTTTGGAGCTGCAATTTCCGACCCAGTTGCGCGTATTTCTATTGTGTTTCGCAACTCAGTCTCTGCAGATCGCATTGTGATGGTTGCGTCAAGGTTG